TTCCTCTGTATAGCAGCTCTCATCCTTTGCCTGGGCTACTTAACCATAGAAATATTGATCACATATTGTGATTTTCCTGCAATCACCTAATTAATTCCTGATGCTTCTACCTTGTTTCAATTATTCTGAGTTTCAGTTCAATATTAAGAGAAATAAAATGGTGGATGAAATTTCACAACAAAATTTGTTGCAGGTAAAAACCAATGAATAAAAATTACTGTCAAGACCCAAAACCAGCAACCTTCTAAAACCTTTAAGACCCTGAACATTTTTTCTAATCCCTGGGTGCCTTTTAACAACTGAAACTATTTTTTATTTTTTATAAAATTGTCAATGGCTTTTCTTTAGATTTATTGGGCTTCTGTTTAGCTTCAGTAGTTGTCTTTTGTGTTCTACTGATACATGCAGTGATACTTCACCATGTGGTTGTGATTTTTTTTTCTGTTACCCTAATAACAGAGAGAATAAAAACATAGAAATGAAGACCCTGTGTGTGTAAACTACACAGAAAATTGTAGAATTAAGTGTTCATTTATTCATCACACACACAATCACGCAACCTGCTTTCCAATAAATATGCAGACATTAATGACAGTGAAATCTTACTTATCCTTAGTATTCTCCAAATTTTACTTTGAAATTAATTGTCTTATCAGGTTACATTCATATTAGTATATGTTTCCCCTCAGATTCTAAAGAGGGTAGAGTCTCTAATTTATTTCCCACCTTGCAGTTGATATAAGCAGGGTTTTAATGCGGGTGATCTCTTTCTTAGTTACAAATACACACTCTGAGTGCTCTGAGATTTATGTAAGAACCTGGAATTCAGACATGGGGTTTTACACTGCTGCTTCAGTTAAGATTAATTAGCAATTATTATTAATAAAATTCGCAGTGCGAATAAAGTGTTGTCTTTCTATTCTCTCTTGTAGTCTCTTTTATTTGGGCTTCAATATTGACATGGCTGTGAATAGTGAGGGATGCTGTTGCTTCCAAAGTCATGAAAATGTGTATTACGGAAAAGCAGATGGTTACTTGTAAATATTAAGAAAGGGTAGATTGCAGTCTAGTTTTAATTTTATTGTAGGTGATTGTAGCAGCAGGGAGGAAAAATTGGTGACTGCAGAAAACATGATTGTACTTTAATATATTTAATTTCTAATGAGCTTCAGCTTTTCCATTGAATTTCAAATGAGTAAGCCTTTCACTGCAGTCTAGCTAATACAACTTGAAAACAGTGATTATTGCAAAGGTGTTATGCTGTCTGATGCACAGTTTTAGTGCATAATTAAAATAAAACCCTCTAATAGAAAATATTAGATGATACTGTAAGTGCTTCCATTTTGTATCACTTCCATTTTGTATTACTTCTGAAAGCCAGTTGGAGGGCATGGAGAAGACAAAATAAATATACTGTTTTGACAGATGTGAACTATATAACATTAGTGGTCATATCAACCACATGATTTATCTTGTGAATGCAAATTCTTGAAAGAGGGTACATGCAAGTGAATAATATGTATGTTTTACTCTCCTTCTTCTCTTGTTCCATTTGCTTTTCTTGAAAATGCATGGATCTTAAAATACGGTGGGACTGACCCTTATGATTTAAGGGCAAAAATCAGTTTCATGCCTGTCAGTTGCCTGTGGCAAACTGTTGCATGGTGCCATGACTACCTTTGGCAGTTGGCAGCCCTTGTATGAGGCTGTGTGGGTGTCTGTGGCTCAGGGAGCACTGGATACTGTAGGGAAAAACCTGGGCCAGCTCTAGGTACATGCTAAGTGAGGATTAGACAAATTACCCTTTGGTTCTGATTGACCTTTCCAGTGTGTGCTATACGTTGGTAGTTGTATGCGCTAAATGTGTTGTAGTACTCATTGTGTATATAATAAATAAATTTTCCAAGTAGATGGGTTTCTCTTTAACCCTAACCAATGGCTACAGGGAATGGTAACATGCTTACTGGCCTGTAGTCCTTAGTTAAATCATCAGTTTGTTAACTGGTGTTTGCAATCTAAACCCTCCCTCTGGAATGGACTTCTTTAAAGCAAAATGAAATAAAATAAAGGTAAGTAAAAGTAAATAGATTTTCCTATTGAAAGTTATTACTTCAGGAATGAAGAAGATGGATATTGATCTGCACCATCCTTTGCCATTACAGTCAGGTTCACATAGATAGCTCAGACACTTTATTCTAAGCAAACAGCCATTTTCTCTTCTGACTTGGATTCCAGTGAGAATTGAAAAAAGTAAAAGGTTCGTAAAAACATTTTTCTGTCCTTCTTACAGGGACAATTTATGTTGAAGTAACAGTTTCTGAGATACTTGCACCTGTTATTGATTTATTTTTTCATTGTCATGAACAATCTCCTGTTTTATAATACAGTTACCCTTGTATGCTGCCCTAGGGTAGTTATTCAGAAATAGTTTTACTACACAAAAGTCCCAGGGGACTTCAAAAGATATAAAGCATTCTGAATAAAGGTAGAGGCTCTTCTCCATATGTTGATCTTTGTGTCTTATATGGCCTATATCAATGAGAGTAAGGTATGTTTCCAACAACAATAAGGAGTACAATATGGGAAGCAACTGTCATAACCCTGTAAATGATGTTGGGTGTCCATGGGGCCCCCTGCCAGAGAAGTCTCAGAAAATGACCTTGGGAGTCCATGAAGTGGAAAGCAATTAAAAAAAAAAAAAAAAAAAAAGTGAATAAGTGAATAAAAATAACAGTTTCTAGGGCCACTTATCTGTGATGCATACATTGCTCTAAAAAAATTTAAAAAGCATCGAATCTGCACTGTGAATGAGTCGGAAGAAAATGTAATGTGGAAATACATGTCTTTCACTTACTTGTGTACATGAAGGCATGCATATGCATGCACAGTTGCTTGCTTGCTTTAGTATAAAATTTCCATTATTCCTCTACAATTCACTGTTTTATAGTTAGGGATTAGTGCATGACCTCTGCCTTTCTGACTTCAATTGATTACTGCAGAGGAATTCTTATGTTTTTACTTTTTATCACATCTTCTGACATTTTAGCGAATAATATTTGACAGCTATGAACATCTGCAAAAGTTACTGTTATCATAACTTGAGCTCAACAGAGCTACTGTCACTGATGCTCACTGAGATCATGTTGCAAAAAAGATGGGCAGTGAATTTACATTCTTTGTTTTTATTCTTGGTGAATTCACAGTAGGAATATTTTATTAGTGCACTTCTTTATCAGCAAAGACAAGTCTTTCATATTTAAAAATGATAGCTATTACATTTCTGTTGCTTGGCTGTGAGCCTGAAGTCCAGTCTGGCTGTTTGAGGAAGCAGTTTCCTTCTGTTCCTATGTAGGATTTTTACATGCATCATAGAATGTGTGTTCCATTTCTCTGTTTCCACTTCTCTAGTTTCTCTGTTCTTTTTCTTTTTCTTTTTTTTTTTTTGTTACCCTGCCCTTTTCTAATCTATTGGACAAAGAGCTACTGGTGGGCTTAGAGCTGAGAAGCAGTTCTAAACAGCGCAGACTTTTGAGTTATTTGTGTTAAAATTATTCCACCTTATTCTTCCACTTGCTTATTCAGTATGCATCCACGAAACTGTTACATTGCATTCTCCTTGAAGATGGCAATGGAGACAGCAAATGCAGTTCATCATTTATGTGCATATTACAGTACAAATCACAAAGATTAAGGGCAGTCATTTTTGGGAGCACCACAATTTTGCAACCAAAAGCACTTAAATAATTACCTTTTTAAGCAACTTTTATTGACTATGCAGAAGGATAAAAAGTAATCTTACTTGTTTTAAATGGCATAAAGCACCCAAATGCCATTAACAGAGTGTTACATTTCTTATTTCGCTAAGATTGCTGAAGCTTACCGGCCAGCGATAAAAAATGTATGAATTCAGGAGTGCTGGCTAGCAATATCCCAAGCCATTGTCAGTGGACTCCTACTTTCCCCTGCCAAAATATGTGGAAGCATGCATGGATTGTGCTAGATTAGTAAGGAGGGCTTGTTTCCGTGGCATTAGCCAGGTATCTTAGCAACAGGATCATACCAGATTCTCACAGTGCTCTGTGGTGGTGCATGTAATATCCTGGACATAATCTGTCTTTTAATTTTCTTTGGATTGTAGTGATATTACAGATACATGTGTTCAGTTATAGATCTTTATTTAATAAGAAGAATGCTTTAGCTGAAGATTTGTACTATGTCAGAAGTGGGCAACTCACAATAATGTTACTGGAGGTTTAGCCCAGGTATAGCCTTGTCTCGCATTTCAGATTGACAGGAAAACTTACTCCCTTCATTAAGATGTGCCTCGTAGTTCATATCTTTATGCTGTGGAGACAGGGATGCTGCCAGAATTCATAATAACGAGAACGTTATTTAATGTCAGATAGAATGCAAATTGCTTGTACAATTGAAATGTCATCTAAAACATGCCACCGTATGCAACACCACTTTATTATAAGTCACTGAGAGCAATATCTTAAATTTGGAATTGCACTAATCCTTCATCTGCTTTTGTTTACCTTTCATCTATAATAGAGATGTCGAATTTCCTCCAAACTGCATTTGCATGTTTTAACTGCTTGTGCACACAGCCGGAGATATGTGGGAGAAGCATGAGCAAGAACTTCCTTTTTATTTTCTTCATTTTTACTTGTTTGTTCAAAGCAAATTAATAGGAAAAGATAGCTTGCGAATGCAAGACAAAATGCCATGTCAACCCTTTTTAGAAATTAACCTGAAGCTTATGCAAGAATGTTTTATGATTTAAAGTATGAATTGTAATACAAATTTGATTTTATTGATTAGATTGTAATTGATTTTTTTGTTAATTCAGTCTCATACAGTAGTTTGTTTCATATAATTGAAACAATAACAATAACTTCACAGGATTAACTTGGTTCACAGTGAGATGACATTGAATGTATTTAAGATTTTTGGCATACTTTACTTGGAAAAAGATATCCAGAACAATTTCTTTCAAGATGAGATACATACCAGCGTGGAAAATATGGTTGATGTGCCAGAGCTGCGCCATTCTATTTAAAAATATCTATCTCAGAGGGATTTTTGAAATATTTGAAGTAAAACCATGGCAGCATCTTCGCTATCCTGCCCTGACTGTGCTTCTGTGGATGTGCCTTTTGAATAGTGGAAGTCTGAAGAGCTTCAGAACCCGCAGATGTTGGGCAATGCCTTTCCCCAAATTTGGTGATGGAGCCAGCTCAACTTTTGTTTCTGGTTGCACTATGATCAATGAAGAAATGGAAGATGTTTAGGGGCAGGTGGTTGGATTCAGGAGTTGCAGATTTCCCAGGTGTGCTTAAAGATTTATCTTTTGACTTATTTAGTCTCAGACTAAGGAAATATTGCAAAAGGTTTTTAAAAAAAGTTTGCCTTGAAGAATAATAGATGCTCTTTAAAGATTAAAATCTATACTTTTAGGAAGTTCTTCTTGCCAAAATTGTGCAATATTACTTAAAAGCAGACTTATTTTTCTGGACAAGTCAGGAATACAGCAGGAAGTATGTTTTTTCTGGCTGGAGGTTCATCTTTGTGGTCCAAACTTACCATACCAAGTATATTGTTCTATTCCGTTTTAGAGCCTGATCTCATTTTGAGAATGTGCCTCCTGGTTAATGAGGAATTTTATTTTATTAAACTAATTCACTTAAGAAACCATCTGAACTTTTCATTCAATGAGTGGTTTGATGCCATGCTCCTCTCCAGGACGTCAACACTCCCTCCTGCTTTTCTCATTTCGTTTTCCCTTCTGGAAGTCCAAGAATGGCTGAAACAACTGCTAATAGTTATCACCCAGCCTTTAGGTGTAGACAGGGAAGAGCTTGTTTGCACTTGCTGTGTAATTTATTTGCCTGGCACATTTCCCACTGTGGTATTTGTGGCCCACATTTTTCTAATAAGAAAAAAATGTGGCCATTTGTTTGAGTGGAAAACACGGTGTCCAAAGAAGCTATGCCTTGGATACAAAGAGTACTTTGATATTTCAACTGTGTGGTAGCACTTTTTTACAGAAAGCAAACAAATTTTCAGCAGTTTTGCTTCAAGTGGAATAGGGACTATTCAAGTATCGCTGGTAATTAGTAAGGTTTGCCTGACATCTTAAATGCACGTGGGTTCACTTCTCCTGATGGGAAGTGCTGTTACATATCTTACTGTTGAGAGATCTACAAATTACAGTTCCATGCCTTACTTTTGTGCTTCAGAGTTCTTGGAAGACAAATCCAGTACTTAAATGTATCATCATCTAAAAGGAGTGACAATATGAAGCCTTGGATAGATGACCTAACAGCCCAAAGAGGCAGGCAGAGTGTCTCAGACTTTATGTGATGCGAGACTGGTTGCCATAATCTGAGATATTCATTCTGCTTTATGGAGATGCATAAGACTACATCCTAGAGTTTTGATTATTTATTATTTTTATATTATTTTATATTATTTTATATTATTTTTATATGTATATTAATATATATAACATATATATTTTTTATATATACCGAATTTTTATTGTGGGGGCAGAGCTGATGTTACTCACAAGACAGTAGTGCTGTTTTTTTAAAGTAGTTATCTATGAGTTTTTGACCATGCTGAATACAGCAATATTAGTGAACCAAGGAAACAAGCTAGCTAGGTGAAAAGGACTGTATTCATTCACAGAGCTTCAAGTTTGTTCTTTTGCTTGTTTGCTTGTTTACCTGTCTTACAGCTCTGTATGTTGCAATTCTTTTTTTTTTTTTTTTTGCTATCACAATATATATATTGTGATATATATATCACAAAATATTCTTGAATATTTTCCAGGACTATGAAAGACTCTGTCATTGCTTTCCTGTGTTATAGAGGCAACACAACTGCCCTTTCACATGAGGCTTGTTTAAATCCAAACCGACTCTTTATTTAAATCTTAATTGTATTTGTGGCCTAGAGCTGTCAGCCAGTGTTACTCTCCTATGCTAGACACTGAGCAAACATATAAGCTAATGATGGCCTCCACTCTGAAGAGCTTAAAATCTTTAAAAGACAAGACCTCCCAGATAGATAAGACAAATAAATGGGCTAGGTAGCAAAACTCAAATGTGCTTTCCCTGCTTTTTATCTTCAATGTTGTGGGATTTTTTTCTTCTTTTTTTTCTACTGTGTAAACAGGAAAGATACTCAGGACTGCCTGTCTTTGAGTAAATTCATACACATAGATCTGAAAATGGATTAGTATCTTTGTTGGTTTCTTCAGCCACTTTTAACAGAGGACTGACTGGAAAATGAAATTATATGGAGTTGTTTTTACTTGTTTATAGGAGGAGTGTGTTAATTTATTGATTTGGATAACTTACTCACTTTACTTGATTGGTTGGAATTCTCGAAAAGTATTTTTATTGCTCTTTCCTGATCTCTATCATAGGCCTTAACAAGTTTTTTTTGTGTGTGCGTTTTTAAGGCAGCTGAATTTCTTTCTCAAATACAATTTCTTTCTTCGTAGTTGCATTCATTGATGTTGTTCCATATGTTCTAGCCTGAGTTACTCTTTTATTTGATAACTTATTTGACAAATGAAAATGATTATATGCTCCTTCAGCACAGATGCTAATATAATTTTCCAGATGATACCTAGAGGGAACTCAACATCCTGGTCTGAGACACTTCAAGGCTGAAACGTACTAAGGGGACACTAGAAAACATAAAGAGAAAAATACTGCAGTTGTCAAAAATGTAAGAACAAAATCAACTTCCAAAAGCTGTAGTTCTGGAAACTTTTGTTGCCTGTTTCTTCAAGGCTCTGTTTCAAAATGTTGTTAATCCTGTCCTAAAGTTTTCAAGCTTCTGATAATACCAGAAAACACACAAATAAACTTCTGTGAATCTGAAAAATATCCACTGTATGCTTACTGTGGAGAAAAAACAGAAGCTTTAGTGTAAGTACTGAGGTACTATGTACTACAATACTCTGTACTTTAGAATGTATTTGGTACAGTGGTACAGTTCGTTCATTTCTTTCATGTAATCCCCTCACAGAATTGTTCATGTTGCTAATTATACAGATTTATAAAGCTGATCTTTATTTTTATCTTAGATCTGTAGTTTATCATCAGTAAATATTCTTCTAATATTTTTTTTTTTCAACGTAGCCATACATCTGTTAACATTGATGTTCTGACATACTTGCTGGAAATCCCAGGGGAAAGCACAGATTCATTGCGTCCTGACAGAACTTTGGTTAGGGAAGAAGGCAGGAGGAATTTGAATGGTGACAACTTGACTTTTAGGGGTGTGCACAAAGCATTCAAGAATTCAGTTTGAGTTTAGGGACATTTTAATATTGTCTTATTTAAGTTATCAATACAGAAGTGTCAGCAAATACATACATATGACTCTTTAACACAAGATGAGCTATCACAAAATTTATGTAAAAATTCAGTCTACAGAAGCAGCTCTGTTCATAGGAAATGAACTGAAATGACCCTCGTGGACTATAGAGCTGTGCAATAGAGTAGGTCACTAATTTTACTGTCTGTTTAGTATTCAAATGGTTCCATTGAGCTGGGCCTAGCTAGTCTTGCCCCTTTGCATCTGAACTATGTGCAAGTAAATAATATCATATCTGTTGGTTCAAAAATCAGTTAACTGAGATTTTTAATTAGGGTGGTCTTTTTTTTTTTTTTTTTTAAAAAAAAAAAAGGTTTCTTGAAAAAGATGCTTTTATGTGTTGAGGTTTGTAATAAAATAAGTGTCATTTGTCTGAGACATTGAAGTCAGTAAATATCGTTAGAAAGTAATACTAACACCCACTTCTGTTGGACTTTGTAAATCAATGTTCATTTTTCCCAAATACTGTTCAACAAATGCCAACCCCAGAAAAGATGACCCTTTTAATTCCTTAGTATAGGCTACAGTTTGGTCTGATTTATAGAAGACCAGTAGTCTATTTATAAAAGATGTATCTGCAAGATGCACTTTATGAGAAACTTGGCTTTTGGGACACATTAATTCTAAGTGCAGTTGCAACTTCCATGTTTTATAATGCAACCCTGACAGCTGTAATTTCAGATTAAAGATTTTTCATTCACATTCCCATCCTGATTGTTCTGCATGGTCCTTATATTACCTTATTGTCAATAGCAAGTGTTCATCCTATTGGGAGTCATTTAATAACCAGCTGCCATTTAAAGTGTAGACAGAACATTTGTCTCAGCCAGCTCATCTCAAGTGTAGTTTCTTTGCATGGGGAGCTGGGACGTCTTCAAGAAAAACAACAGCTGGACCTCAGTATTGTTCCCTGCTTCTTTTGTATTAGCAAGTTAAAACAAACCTGGATACTTTCTGTTAATTTTCCAAATGCTTTTGTGGTGCTGGTTAATTTGTTTACAAAAGTAAACAGTTTTGAAATGCCCACTTTTTGATAGATGCTTTTGTTCTTTCTTCTTCAGTATGGATCTACAGCACTCATTTTGTGTTACTTAAAGTTATTTGCTGAAAGTTAAACAACAGCAAGATTGTAGGTGTTGTGCCACTCTGCAGCATCTCTGCCTATGTACAGGTCAATTTCTCCACTGTCTTGAGCTACTCTGCAAAGTATTTTAAGGCCAATTTTAAAAGACTTATTTAAGAAAATCAGTTTTCTTTCTGATATGATTTTCCAACCAAAGACATTGGGAAATAAGTATAAATGGTCTATATGAAAATTAATTCATGACTTGTAACGATTTTTTTAGAACCTACCATTTAAATTTCCTTAACTTGACAGCTGGAGATTATCCTTTGTGGTAGTGATCTGTAACAAAAAAGGGGGGGAGGGAAGTTTCAGAAAAAAATTGACTCTTTCATGGCTAATTAAACTGGAATACAAATCAATCAGCAGAAATAGCTGATGAATTTATTATGTCCGTGCAAGCTTACTGTATCCTAATGTGTTTGATGTTCACTAAAATTACTATTCCCATCATCTTATAGGGTAATCGTTTACGTTAATCTTTACCTTTATCTATAATATTGATCTGAGACTCTCAGGCAAGTAATGGAAGTTTGGGTTTATGTAAGTGTGCAGCGTTTAAACACTAGAGCCATGACAACTTGGAAAACCTGGCCTGGTAATTAAATCCTTTCTTCTTCTTTTCAGATCAAGTTCTCTAA